ATTGTGAGCCTGCAAGTCCTGCGATCGGGAGCGGAAAAGCCGCTCGCGCAACCCCCCTCTCCAGCCATGCAGAGCCCCATTCACTCACCTAGGAGCATTCCGAAGGTTCCGAGCTGCGGGAGGCAGAGGGCGGCGAACAGGTGCTCGCATTGCTTGGTGCCTTCCCGGTACCGCTAGATCGGTCAGCGGCACTGTGCCTGGCTGGAAAGGGAGGTTGCCGGCCAGCTGCTCGCGACTGTGGTCACCTCATGGCTGCTGTGTTGCTGCTGCGACAGGGCAACACAGCCATTCAACCCTGAGGCTGTGCCCGGCTCTTCGGGAGCCCGCTTGGAAGGGAGCAGCAGTCCAGTAACCCAAATACAATAACCCCTCCCCTTTAATAAGCCCAAGGCCATATTTCATGGGTCAAAAAAATATAAGACCCTGTCGTATTTTCGGGGAAACACGGTATGCAATCATATTTTACAATTACATCATGAAACTTACTGTAGAAGGATAGCTACTGTCTTTTAAGAAAAAAAAGTTGTGCATTTTTCACTTTAAAAAAATAATATTTTCAATATTGTTTAATTCGTGAGAAAAGTTAAAAGGTATGCATACATTTGCATATGTATCAGTTATTTATTCATTGTTCTATATTTGGTTTTCTCTAGAAGTTGATAAACACTTATACTTATATACTTACTTACTTATCATATTATCTAGTGACAGATCTGGAAGCTTATTCTGCAAGGTCCCAACAGGAGTTCCACAAAATGAGATAGGTGAATACAAGGGTGATACATTGGAATGGCTAAAATATAAACAAGAAAACTTCAGCATGCACTAAATTATCTTCTAGCATAACTAACAAATAGAACCCAAATGAAATTGTATACAAGGACTGGTAAACAGAGTGAAGTAACCTTGATTTTCACTGGTTACAAAATTTTAGAGAATAGAGTTAATCTCTTCTCTAACAGTTGCCTAAAAGTTTTTTTTTTTTAAATTCTAATAAAAGTATTATTCATGGCTTGGATAAAGTAATACATTTTCAAGAACTGTTAAAGAATAATACTTTCCAAAATTCATGTACAATATTTCAGGTGTTATCTACTCCAACATGTGCTAGGAATACAATAAGCCTTTTAGCAAGTGTTAATTACCTGTCAACAGTGAAATATATTGAGGAGATAAACAAAATCCAGTGAAAATTGATAATTTTTAATATATTTACTCCATAAATTTGCCGATACATAAAACACACTAATTCCTTTCTAAATCACGTTCTTTTCATGACTAGTTATCTAAAATAAGCTTATAATATTACTCTAAAAGTTCTGCCTACAATTCTGTATTTTACAGAATTTTTGGAAACATTTACATTTTGCTTAATATAGATCTTATTAGATTTGAGTAGTATTCGTATTTTGGGGATTACAAACTCAACAGTGAATGATTGGCTGATTACATGCTATCAAGTTGCTGTCGACTCTGAATGACCACATTCTCAGCATGCAGCAAACCAAGTCCAAAGCCCTGCCAATGGCTTTATTTATATGATTTGTTTAATGTTTCTTATATTACTTTGGCTCCAAGTGCCTGTCATTTGACACAACCTAAAACCCAAACTAGGAAAAATTCCTGCTTCAAGTATTAAGAATTTTCCTGATGTTGAAGCACAAAGACAAATAGATTTGAGAAGCTCTGATTTGGGAAAATGGGAGGGCAAACTTTTAGAATAATGACCATCTTTACCCATAGCATGTAGGGTTCCTTAAAGAATAAACTACTGGGATTCATGTAGCATCAGGTGGCAATGGAACTATTAACCTTGGTATAGCTGCAGTCCATATAAATCACATGCAAGTTTTATCATGCATTATCTTCATGTGGTTGTTAAGTGCAAACTATGTTCATTTTTTTGAAGATTGTGTTTGTGTTAAATTTCATTCTTTCTGCTTCTAGAAAGGTGTACCACAAACCAGCTATGCCAAAAAACAACAACAACATCATCATCATCATCATCATCATCATCATCATCATCAT